AAAATAATACAAACCCTCCAAACTGTGAACTCGCTTTATTATTTAATGAGTGAAAAGTTTCTAAAAGACACTTTTCAAGGTGGTAAAGTTTTTAGGTTAAACATATTTAAATATTTTAATAAATTTATTTTTATTTTATTTTATTTAATTTTATTTCAAAAACGACTTATCAATGCAAGTAATGATTCTATGCTCAAAATTTGCTGCATTTTGCTTAAATTCATATGTTGCTCTGGGGGTAGTTGCTTTAAACTTTTTTACTTAGAAAAATTTTTTGTTTTGAAGAAATTTAATTCAATAACTTTATATAGACAACGATTTTTTTCGGAAGCTTTAGAACAATTATGTATTTATTTTGGAATATATGTATCAGTTGAATAGTTATAATTTTCAAATTGAGGTTAAGTGACAACAGTAGGTAAAAAACATATTTACTTTAGTTTAATAAGAAAATATGAACAAGAACTCGCTCGTTAAGACATTTAGAGGGGTAATATTAACTGTACGGCTTTTTCATGAAAATTCTGTATATAAGTTTTTAGAAGATTTTGAAACACGTTAACAGTTTTTCAGGAATGAAAATATATTTTTATATATTTTTTATTGTAGACTTTTTCCATAACACTGTGGAACATTTTTGAGATTATTGTCTGGGGGGTGAGAAATTCCAAGTCAGGGTGATTGTACTAGGTCAGTATAGTAAAACCCTCAAAGGGGTTTTTTGGTTTTTGCCAAAATGTTACAACTAAGCGAAAAACATAGAGATAAAGAAAAAAGGGGTCATATGGTCATAATAACAAACTAACACATACGAACGCCAAGCCCTTTGAGGGTTTTACTATACTGATCTAGTATCATCACCCTGACTAGGAATTTCTCACCCCCCAGATTAGCTGTGGTACTGTGTAATTTTAAGATTATATTGATAATGTGGAACTATTATTCTTATTTTTAGAGTCATTTTGGGTAAAAATAGTTAATAGATTCGCGGAGTGTTTATCATAGTAAAAAATTGGAAACTATTTTTTCATATTTTTTGTTGAATTATTAAAAGAATATTTTTTTATGAATTTCGTGGAATTTTATAGATTTAAAATTTCATTAAATACTTGGGATTTATTCGTGAATTGACGAACTGTTTATAAAAGAAATAAATTTCAAAAATAGTTTTGTTGAATTTTGTATGAGGCTCTGTCAATGCTTCTCAGTTTAGTTTTTGACTTGGAATGCATGCCAATAGACACAATATTAAAAATAATATTGTTTTTTCATATTTTTTAAGCTACTGAATTGATTACACTGAAAGAAAAAGTTGTGAAGCTTGGCTCACATGGTCAAAATATTGGTTTGGATTAAAAACCTCACTTTTGTTTGTTATAAATCAAATATATTAAAGATTTTTGTAAGTTTTGGTGTTTAGTTATTTCAAAAATATAAGATAACCGTTTAATTGAAGTTTTATATTCAAGTTTATAGTTCAACACAATTTGAGAAAGCTGTTGCTGGTGCTGAATTTGTTCAAATTCACTTTTGGTTTATAAAACCTATGAGAAAAATGTGAAGGCGTAGATGTATAAAAATAATAATTTTTAAAAACGAAACTCAGTTAAAAAAATTCATTGATAATAAAAAAAATGTATATCGTATAAAAGTACGGGATTTTCGAAAAAATTTATAATTTTTCCGTGATAAAAATGTAATATAAGTTTTTATTGTTCAATTTTTCTATTCTCGAAAAAATGTATAATTTTGTCGAGATAAAAATTATATACATATTTTTGTTGCGACGTGTAGTCTATAAAGTATATATATATATCTATTAGTATATAAAACTTAACTTTCAAAATATTTCACCGGAGTTTTCTGAACAAAATTTCGGACTTTCGAAAAAATTTGTAATTTTGTCAAAATAAAAAAATCTATTCTTGCTTAGTTGGAAAACATATATACTATATATTATATTCCATATTGTTCGTTTGTTCTAAATGACGCTGGGGATTTTCGAAAAAATATTAACACATTTTTTTTTTCAGTGTAAAAAAATTAAATGCCTTAGAGTACTTAAAATTTAACTTTCAAAATATATTTCACCGAAGTTTTGGAAGAGTCGGTATAATATCGATAAATTTCTCGATAACAAAGGTATCTTCGAAAAAATTTATAATTTTGTCAAGTTAAAAATAATTATAGTTCTGTTAAGGTAAAAAACATATGTGCTATATATTATAGTCTACATATATTGTTCATTTGTTCTAAGTGATCGAAAAAAGTTTAATACAATTTATCTCAGTGTAAAAAATATATAAACTATGTAGTATTTAAAATTTAACTTTCAAAACATATTTCACCGAAGTTTTTTTTGAAATGAACGTCGTCGTACCATCGATAAATTTAGCGACAACAAAGGGCTCTTTGAAAAAATATTAATATTATATAATTTTTGTTAGTATAAAAAATATATGTGATGTAGCATATATTTAACTTAAATTTTTAAATATGTTTCAGTGAAGTTTTTGAAATGAGCCGTTAAATTTATCCATAACAAATCATTCATCGAATTATCAATAACAATTATTCAATAAAATATTAGAAGTGAACGTCGGTATATTATCGATAAATTTATTGATAGCGAAAGGATCTTCGAAAAAATGTATAATTTGGTCAAGACAAAAAGCTTTCTTTCACTGAATTTTTTGAAAACTTTTAAAATAAAACTCGGCCAACTATCGATAAATTTATCGATAACAAAGCAAGCTGACGCACAAACCACCGAGCACTATGTGCTCAATTACCTGCACACTCACAATTTCCTCATTAAAAAAATTATAGAAATGAAAAAGTCCTTCATTTTGTATTTTTTGTTGCTTTCATTAATTTATGTAACGTGGAAAAGTTTTTATTATATTCTCAATAAAAAAGTTTCAGAATTTATATAATCACTACAAACATTGGTTTTTGTTTTGTATAAAAAGTATAAAAAAATCATTAATGTTAAAAATAAAAACGATTATTGTATGCATATGTGTGTGTGTTGCAATGTAACAGCAAACAAACTCTGTACAAAGTAAACAGTAAACAGCGCATTGCTTTTGCAGTTTTTGTTTTTTTTTTTTTGTTTGCTTGCTTTTGTAATAATAATTTTGCTTATGCTTTTGTTTTTGATTTTTTTTGCATGTAAGTTTAGGTTATGTGTTATAATAATAACATTTAGTAATAAAATTTTTTTAAAATATTTGTCATAATAATAATAGTAAGAGCAATAAAAACACGCTTTCATACACAGTAACAAATTACAGATTTGATTGAATTAGAAAAATATGAAAAGTATATATTTATATATATGTTGTATATACTTATGTATATATATATTAATTTGCATTACGAGATGTACTTTTTAACTTTATTTATAATAATCTATACAAAACAATTAATTTGCACTTTGCACTAAAAACAATTCAACTAAATAAAAAATTAAAAAAAATTATCTACAAACATTTTAGACAAATAATAGGTAGTTTTTGGAGATACATTATGTATATTTTATATGTATGCATGTGTTGCACACTGCACAGTTGACGCGTTCTTGTTGCGCACACGCGCATGCGGAAAGGCTGGCGGACACAGGGGAGTAGATTTGATGTTGGATATGCGAAATAAACGCTGCTGGCGTGCAAGAAGCTGAAAATAAGCGTTGTTTGTTGTTTTTTATTCTTGTTGTTGCAATATTTACATGTTAAGCTGGCAGGTATTGGTTGCTACCGCCTACAAGTCGCTTTTGGGATACCATTGCTTGCAAGTAATTTTGTCTTACAGCCTTCTCTGCAGGTTTAATACCGTTAGTTGTGTTGCTTCTTCTTCTTGCTCTCGTCAGCTCTATTTGCTCTTTTACCACAGCCTCCGACTCCTTTTTCTTGCATATAACGTTACTTGCCTTGTTGGTGCTTGCCCAGCCGCTGCGTTGCGTTTCTGTCTATGTATGTGTGTGCTACATGCATGCGTACTTAAGTTTCCTCTAAATGTTTTACAATAGTTCGTTCGCTTAGCTTACATAACTGTTGTTTTAACTAGATTTGCTTTCATTTCTCATCATTTTTTTGGTTGTTTTTTATTTTGTTGCAATAATAGCAATAATGTTGTTGATAATCATAATAATAATAATGTAATTTAATATAATAATAATAGTAATAAGTAGTTATACAATAATATAGTATAGCATTATAAAACATTTAACATTCTCATATTTTCATATATAGTATATGGTACATATGTTTTTTTTTACGCTTATGTAATATAATAGATACAACATTTGAATATTAGAAAAATGTGTGTGGGGGTATAAAAAACAGCAAAACGATTTTCACTTTTTCATTTTTGACTAACTTTAAAACTTATCAATAATAAGACTTTAACTAGATCGTATCATTTACTAATATTGTATATGTATTTGCCAGCTGCGCCTTGGCTACATGCCCTACTACAGCCACACTACTACCGCTTGCGTTACTATTTTCGCTTCCGCTTTGGTCCGTTTACAACTAGTTAATAAAAAACGACTTGAGAAATTTTGTATACTATGCTGATAGTGTTGCTTTAGGTTAGGTTTTTTGTTTGTTTGTTTGTTGTTGTTGTATTTCATTATATATATCTAAATTGTTTATAAAAACAATGCGCTGCAGCATTTCGCTTGTCCGTCCGTCCACGTGCCACGAGTACACACATAATTACAAAACCTCTCTCCTGCGCCCCTTATGTACTTATATATGTATATATTTATATGTTGTTGTAGTTGCTTAATTTTCTTATTTCTTGCTTTTCTGCTTTTGTTGTTGTAGCTATCATGCAATTTTTCGCTGGCTTATGCTCCTTGCCAGCATTGCTTCATATATTTGTAGTTATGTATGTGTAATTTTTTTTTGCTAATTTGCATATTTTGTTGTAATAATTACAGTTACACTAGCAGAATTTCACTATTTATAAACTTGTGTTTTGTTGTTTTTGTATTTGTTATAATTTTTCTTTAAAAAAGTTGACGCTTTGCACTGTCTTCTTGCTACAGCTCCCTCTCCATATTTTTTTTTTGTTTTGCATATTAGCTATGTTGTTTTTGTACAACATACAATATACATACATATATTTATAATAATTTTTGTTTTTTGTTTTTGCTCATGCAGTGGTTTTTTCTGTTTACTTTTTACTAAAAAAATAAGTTTTTAAAAAAATAATTCTGTGCATGCCTACTGCAGCGACGCCACGCGCACGCTGCTACTAACCAACGGTAAAAAAATGTGAAAAAGAACCATGTAAAAAATATGTATATTACAAACACCTTAATTGGCCACCAACAGTTGCTGGTAGGGACCGGCTGCATTGGAATAGAACGAGTTGAGACCATCGATCAGTTTCGAGTTGTTTGAGTCTTGTTGTTGTTGGCTGCTATTGGCCGCGGCGGCGGCGGCAGCGCTGGCGGCGACGGCAGCAGCGGCTGCGGCAGCCAATGGCGACGGGCTGACAGCTGTTGGTGTGGTTGTTTGCTGGGCAGTACTGTTGACTGCGTTGTTGGTGACGATGGTGTTTGTGTTGTCGGCAGCGCTGCTGCCATTCGAAACGGTCACAGTTATGCCGTTATTGCTGTTGTTATTGCCGTTATTGCTGCTGTTGTTGTCCGCGCCATTCTTCTCAACCACAAGTTTGCTGTTGCCATTGACATGTTGCTGTTGTTGTTGTTGCTGTTGTGCCGACAACGGTGCGCCCACAACGCCGGGTGGTGGTGCCATTTGCGATTGCTGTTGTTGTTGCTGCTGATGAGCAGCCGCCACCGCAGCAGCTTGCTGCAAATGCTGATTACCGCCCAAGCCGTAGAAGCCATGCGGATCCAGATAGTTGTTAAATTTGCCGTGAACACCGTTGGCCGGATTGGCAGCGCCGCCGCCGTAGAGCGCGTTATTCTCGGCGGCATGGAAATGCGTGTCGAAAACATTTCGATGTCCGTTGAATTGTGGATACATGCCCATGGAGGCCATGTTGGGGAAGTAGAAGGGATCGACTGTGGCGCCATTCTGTCCCAAGCCCAGTGAGAGCGGATTCGGTGAGAGCGAACGTGCTGGCGAGACGGGTCCGATGGGACCGAAGTGATTCGGTGGTTGCGCCAGGTTCGGATTACCATGTCCGCCATGATGTAGTTGCTGTTGTTGTTGTTGCATGGCACGTTGTTTAATGTAGTTGGAGAACTCAGTGGGCGACATGCGGTATGAACTGCTGCTGGGTAGAGAGTAAAGAAAAAAAAAAAAATATTTAAAAAAATTCGCTCTTCTAGAGATATGTATGTACTAACCTATTGGTACGCTTGGAACTGGTTTTCAATTTGGTACTACCGAATTTGGTCTGAGCAAAGGTGGCTGTTGTGAATGTTAGTGGCGCCTGTGTGCGCTGCATGAAAGAACCGTTTGCGGCTGCAGCCGGATTGGGACTACCTTTGTAGGTGGGCGAATTGGAGGATGCCGAATGTGGCGATGAGCCAGCATGTGGTGAAGTCTTTGGACTCAAACTCAAATTGTTCATGCTTGTATTGACCGCATCGATGGGACGAAAACATTGCGCTTCGGGATTGAAGGTTTTATTGACCTCACGATCGGCCGATGTGTTGTCTTCATGATTGTCACTGTTTTCCGAGTAGAGTATCTGCGCAGGCAATGAGCGGCTGTTAGTTAAATTGAAAATATGAAAAATGAAATTAAGTTTTTACCTTCACAGCACCCTTTTCGCCAATGCGGTAGGAGACCTCGCCGGGATCCACCCAAACTGACAGCTCGGCAGGCAAATTCTCTAAAATATCAGCAATAGGTACACCGCTCTCGCGCGCAGCACGCTCCAAAACCGAATCGATCGGATCGCCAGTTTTCAAGCAACGGAATGCCGAACCCTGAAGTGTGGAGGGAAAAATTTCGTTCAATAATTAAATACATATTAGATAATTTTCTGTAGCTTTTATCTATCTCTCAAAACTGGACGAGCTAACTAATGCATTATGATGTTGTTCAAAAGTTTTTCATAACTTGAGGTCCGTTGCTTCGAGAGTAGTTTCGTCAAAAAGGTTTAGACTTCTAACTAACCTTCGAACGTTTCTTTACAGTAAAGATTTTAACCTGTTTTCACATAGGTTCCGAATATATATTGACTTCTTCTCAGTACTTGGTTTGGAACCCATTTTTCGGTAAACTTTGTTCAAATTGTAATCAAAGGAAAAATGATGTGAGACTGTTTTCTGGTCAACTTTAATCACTCAGCCTAACAAAAAGATCCCTCTTCCCGAATTTCCCGAATTTTGGAGTATTTTTAGAGCTCCTATGGGTAAAAGATTAACCTTTAAAAAAAAATTTTAAGAATAGTGGCTAGTCTTCCACTAGGTAGGTTGGTTTTGTTTGATATTTTGAGAACAATTGTATAGTTCGTACACAGTTACTGTAGGAATACAGGTAAATGTGTGATATCTAATTGATACCTGAACCTTTGCTAAATATTTGGCTGAGCTTCTCTTTCCATTCGAGTTTTCTGGCTTGATGTTAAACGACCAATAGAGAAACTGCAAGTTGTAAACTATCTTCAGCCCCTAGGTGGCGACAAGAGACGATTTTTGATGACGAAAACTCTTTCGCAACTTGTCAGAGCTCTTTTGAATATTTTTTGGTTGGGTACCGAGATCGTAGTCCAATGAGAACATGACAGCATTAAAGCAGGCTTGTACACTGATAGAGCAGATTGTGAAGGGCTAAGATTTTACCTAACTAATGAGCAACTGTAAGTTGTCAACTATCTTCAGCCACTAGGCGAAGGCAAAAGAAGATTTTAAATGACCAAAACTCTTTCTAAACTTGTGAGAGCTCTTTTGAATATTGCTCAGAAACTGAGTTCGTAGCCCAATGTGAATATGACTATATAAAAGCAGGCTTCAATAATGATAGAGCAGATTGTGGAGGGCTAAGTCATAACTAACTCGAACTGTCAAACTTACAAAGTAAGTGTAAAAACTTTATGACGTCACAAAACAATATATTTTGCTGTCAAATGCAAATCAAATAAAGTAACTTGACGAAACTGTCAAGGTCTTTCTCTAACAACACTTGGATCTACACTTTATATAGCAACTGTTGTTAGAACAAGGAATTCTACTGTTCTAGCAGAAGTCAAGCGTGTCTTTAAAGTTTATTTACAACCTACCAATATTTTTCTTACTGAGAATTAAATGAAAAATGAATTAAGTACTCACCTTGAAGGGTTTCTCCGGATACCAGTGGCCTTGGAACTTATCCTTCAACGCCTTCTCCAGCTCCTCGCCGAAAATGTTCACACGTCGCCTTGGCAGTTTGTTGTAAAGATACGAAATCACGAAATTTAACGCCACCTGAATTTCTATATGCATTTTGTTGCTGTTGCTGTACTGCTTATTGCTGTTGTTATTGCTGCCGCGACTGCTTTTGATTTATTCTATGTAAGTATGTATCAATCGTAATCGCCGCCGCTGCAGACGCACTTTACTTTATTATATTTGTTAATTTGGTTATTGGTATGTATGCTTGTCTGTAGGCAAGTAGATGGCGCTGTCACCGTTTTGGAATTGCGCTGTTTGTTATTGCTGTTGTTGCCGTTTTTATAGTAATGTTAATATATTGATTTGTTGTTGCCTTTGTTGTCGAATACTGTCGCGTCGTGATAATTTAATTATAACGAACGTGCTGCCGTTGTTGTTGCTGTGGCTTGCAGGTTTATTTCAATTATTTGGCTGCTCCTTTGCCTCTGCCCTTTGTTCGTAAGCTGAGACTATTTGCTTATTTTTTATGCTTGTGGTTGCGGCTGCTGTTGTTGTTATTGCTGCGTGCTGTTAATGCAAATTTAATCGCTCGCGTTTTGCGGCTGCACGTTTTTCAAACTATTTAATGGTTGCTGTTGCTATTTGCTTTTGTTTTGGCAATTTCTTATAAATTTGTATGTTCGTATTCCGAAATGACTTGACTTTTGTCTGCGGCCGTCTGTCTGTCTGTTTGTTTGTAAGTGTGTCTTTATTTATGTTTGTGGTTGCCGTCTGTGGGCTTTAAAGTTTTAAGCGCATTCTTATTATTTTTGTTGGTTGTAATGTTGTTTTTGTTGTATTAAATATTAAGCTTGCTTTCTTTAGTTCACTTATTAACTGGTTGAGAATTCTTTGTCTATCTTGTATTTTTGTTGTTGTATAACTTTTGTTGTTGTTGTTACTAATTTATGTTGGTTTCTGCAAATTTTGGTTTATTTTTTTCTTGTTCTTGCTATTGCGGTGTAACTCATCGAAATATTCCAGGAGCTTTGTCGTTGTTTGTGTAGCTGAGTAGTGTTTTTTTTACTTTACTTTCTTCGTTTAAAGTTCTTTTGGAGAATTGTCCTGACTACCTGCAATTAAAAAAATTATATAAAATTATTTCATTAGTTCAGTGCTTTCAGAGAAAATTTTAATTCACATCACACAAAAATTCTGATTACAAAAGCTGTCATTAGTTTAAAGCTTTCACTTCTATGAAATTTCTGTTTTACAACTTTGGACAGAAAATATTTATGTATTGTTAAAAAAAAAAAAAAAAAAATTTAACTTTCACTTTATGGAATATGCATTTTTTGACAAAATATTTTTTTTAGAGTTTTCATCAGCTCAGAGCTTTTACAAATTGTATATGAAATTTTTTGCAAATTTTCAGAAAAAATGTTAATTAATACTAGGAAACAAAACAGAAAGCAGACTGAAAAAAACTGAGCTTTAATCTTTTTATCAAAGCTTTCTTCTTTTTCAAACTTTCATCTTACGTTCCTACCACAATTGGATCTACGTAACTGAAACGGGCCGGCAGCTATTATCCGTCCAAGGACCGTCGGCAGAATTCTGGCGCTACAACAACAATAACAGCAAAGCTTTCATCTTTGTATATTTGCTTTTTTTTGCAAATATTTGATCCAAAAGTGTAATTTATGCTATAAAACAGTGTATAATAAAAAGTATTTTCAAGATCCTAGAGCTTTCACTGCTTCCATACGAGTTCTTTGACATTATGAAAAAAATTATTATTTTTGAGAGCATTCATTAACTGCATGCTTGTACTATTTGTGTAATGAAGTTTTTGCGATTTTTGCGAGAAAACGTTAATTTATAAATTTATAATTACATTTTTTCTGAGCTTTCATCTTTTGTGTATAAAATATTTTTTGCAATAATTGAAGAAAATTTTAATTAATACCATGAAAGCTTTAAGCTAACAATGTTCCTAAAACTACCTATTATTCTTAGGTATTTTTTTATTTTTCAGAGGTTTCATTAGGTTAAAGTTTTTCCTGTTTCCAAACGAATTTTTTGACATTTTTGTGAGAAAATGAAAAAAATGTAAAGCTTTCATCAGCTTAAATCATTCATTGCTTCCATATTTTGACATTTTTGAGAGTCATTAAAAAATTATATGTATATAAATTTTTTTTGTAACTTTTGAGAGAAAAAGTTAATATATGTTATAACAAAATTATAAGCTTGAAAGCTTTCTTTATGTGAGAGATTTTTTTTTTTAGAATATCGTATAATTATTTGTAAAACTTCGTGTTAAACTTTTAGTTTTCTCAAAACATAAATTATTTAAATATACAAAAAATAGTACATTTATTTTTTGAAATTCCTCGCTCATTGAACGTTTCCGCCGCGTTAAGGCCAGATAAGTCTGTAAAGCAAAAATACTGCAATGTCTTTAATACAGTTTTATTTGTTTTTACTATTGTTGCTGTAGCTTTTCGATAGCACGAGTGCCCGTGACAGCATGCTAAGCAGCTGTCGTAAATCTTTTCGTCGCAACAACACAACAACAACTGCGGCGAGTTTTGTTGTTTTTTCGAATTCATTTAGCAAATATTTCATAGTGCAGTGTCAGACACTTTTCGAAGGTGTAAATTTTCAGTTTTATTTATTGTTATGATTTTTATTTATGTGCGCCATGCTCTTGACTCAATTCGCGCCAGCCAAAAAAAGTAGAATTGATATGTAATCGCGCTTTTGTAACCTTAGTCGCAGGTTTTTCCCTTTACTTTATTTTGGAGAGTTTAAATATTTTTATTACCATGTAATTTGTTGAATCTATAATGTGGTTATTTTATGTGATAGAATTATTTTCTCGAGTTTCGTATATTTTTTCTGTATTTTCACGTGACAACGAATTCATCAAAATGAGTCAGAGAGCTTAATGGAGACAGTTGAGTGAGCGAAAAGGTTAATTTTTCGGCTAGGGTGGCAATGGGAATTTTAAGCATATGCTAAAGATAAAATGATCTCAATTAAAACACTAAGGATATTAAACATTTCATTTTGTTGTATTTTTATTCACCAATTATTTGTCTAGATTGATATAAAGATGTCAAGTACTTGTACTAAAGTCTCAATTTCAAAATGTTTCAATAAATAACGTTTAATTCAAATTTTATGAATTTTCCTTTAAGATTTACTACAAATATTGAGAATATATAAAAAATATTATATTTTTGAAGAGTTTTCACAGTTTTCATTTCAATTTTTTGACAAAAATATTTTTTGAGAGCTTTCATCAGCTCAAAGCTTTCAATAATTGTGTATGACGTAGTTTCATATTAAAAAAAATAATAATATTTACATAAAACATTTTTTGAGAGCTTTCATCATCTCAAAGCTTTCACTAATTATATGTGAATTAGTTTCGTAATAAAAAGAAAATAATTATATAATATTAACTAAACATATTTTTGGACAGCTTTCATAAATTGTATATGATATCATATTAAAAAACACAAATAATAATATTGACAAAAAATATATTTTGAGAGCTTTCATCAGCTCAGAACTTTCATTAAATATGCAATGATTTATGGCACATTATTTGCACTAAAATGGAAATAACGCTCATTTGCCTTATGGAATTAAAAATTATGCCGAAGGGATCTTCAAAAATGCTCCACATTATTTTACCACATACATACATACATTCACATTTGCATTTTTGGAAGTGCCGTTATCTTTGAATTTTAATCAAATACAATATTCCCGTAAGCCAGATTATGCAAAATCCCTTATTTCGCCCACAAAACTGAACGGAAATTTATCATTTCTTGGGCCATAAAGACTTTCCACAGCAATGCAGCCAATTTTGTCAGAAAAACACATTTGGCGAATTTAGGATTGACGCAAAACTTTTATATGTGCGCAGCCTGAGTAATCCCCGCACGCTCATTGTAATGAAATTAAGGTTTTGGTTAAGTAAAAAGTTGCCAGAAATAAATGATACATACGCTTAGGCATAATCAGGCACAAAGTACATGACTACAAATGTAGAGGGAGATAAATACAAACACACATATACATACATTCATACAGACATGTACATACATATGCGCTACCAACACTTAAGTGCACCGTAGCGCTCCAAAGCAGCCATAGACAGTGTGGTGACAGCTTACGAGTGTCAGGGGTTAACCGCCTCAACACTGCCTCTCCGCCCCCCGCACACATCCATTTGACGATGATAATTTTCTTTCCACGCCATTGAATCGATTGGGCGACGAAAATTGTTGTAGTATTTACTTTAAATAAAATCAAGTCAACAATAAGCGGGTTAAAAACGAGGCAGCAGAGATACTCGTATATGTGTAAAGGAACAATAACAACAATCGGGGGCACAGGCAGTGACTGGAGTCAAAGTGTGTCTGTTGACATGACTACCAATCCTTGTTAAAATATTACATTACAGCAGTACATATGTGCGCACTTACACATACATAACACAAAACACATATACACACATACATAATATGTACACATGTATACAAGTGTGCACATACATTTTTTTAGACGCCTTGTAATCATGTACGCGCAACAAATCGGCGACAGCAAATCTAAATGGAGCAAGGCACAGTTATTTATGCACACACGCACACATACGGATACTAAAGCATTTACATCGCGTCAATTTATGTACATATGTGTGCGTTTGACTGAAATAAAATATTATGGAATTTTAAGCCTTAGATTTTTTATAAATTCTCTTTATGTCAATGCAGTAGTATGAGTGGGAATGTGACCCACACACACATACACACAACGGACAAATGTGATTCACAGCATGTATTTGATTACATTTTACAAGGATTTGCTGTCGCTGCCTTTGTTCAACAAAATTCTGCAGCGAAAGTGAAATCATAGCAAATGTATCGAGAAATTAAGTGTTTAACATAACTTTTACGGCAAGGCATTTGTGGTAATGCGGTTTAAGTATGAGAAAATCGAATTTGCAAAACCCGCCGCAAACAACAAATGACTGAATTGCTATTACATAACTTTCTGTGTAAGCGATTTTTCTGTACGGCATTGAGCTTTTGCTATTCTAATAACTTTTGCATTGCGATTTCATATCGATTTAGATTTTATGCGGTCTCACAAAGCCTTAGAATTGTATTTACAAATAGCGAAAAATATGTGACATCTTCGAAGACAATATACCAAAAATGATAACTTTAATTATAGTTATCATAATTAATTACATAAAAATCTTAATTTTTTTATTAAAATTATTTTGATTTTTATATTTTATTTGGTCAATTTCGTGAAAGTTTAAGCAGCTTTGGCATTTGAAAAGGTAAAAGACATTTTTGCGATTTTAATTAAATATTCGTAAATAGAAAGTCTTAAAAAATTATTTTTAATTACCGTTTCGTATCAAATTACTTCGAAAAACTTTAATTTTAGTTAAGTGACTATATATACAGATATTCAGTTTTCTGACTAGTTTTGGGTTCTCGAGAGGTGGGAAATGTTTTTTTTTTCAAAATTAACTTTCAAGCTTTCGAAGTTTATGTTCGAAAAAAATTTTATTCGAAATCAATTGCCACAACTTATGTTCCAATAGATTCTTCAACCTGTTTCTCGTAAAAAATTGAGATTCGTAACTTATCTATAACGATATCGGCAGAAATTTCTTCGAAAAAGCTTTAATTTTAGTTTTATGACCATATGTACTGATATTCCTTGTAAGATATATAATTATTTGTATCTTTTTGTTTTCTAGTAAGTTGGGAATTGTTTTTTTTTTAAGATCGAAATTAACTTTCGAATTTTTTTTCGAAATCAATAGCCTCAACTTGTTTTTTAATTGACTTTTCAAGCCGATTTTCGTAAAAAATTAAAAGTTTGTAACTTCTCCGTAATAATGTCGGCCGAAATTACTTCGATTAAGTTTTAATTTCAGTTAAATGACCAAATATACAGATATGCTTTCTTAGATAAAATTATCTATATAGTTTTGGGTTCTAGAGAGTTGAAAACTGTTCGAAATTAAAATTATTTTTTTCGAAGATCTAGTTCGAAATTATTTTTTCGAAATTATTTGACTCAACTTGTG